AGATGTCCCCAGAGAGGTGGCGCCTGACACCCAACCTGACATATAGACACAGACATACAGGCACACACATATACAAACATCCATTCCCACCCTCATGCTCTCATATGCACTTACTCCACACTCAACCAACCCTGAGCCTGGTTCTGCCGGAGGTTTCTTCCTGTTAAAAGGGAGTTTTTCCTTCCCACTTCCCACTTTTGTTGTGATTTGGTGCTATACAGTATAAATAAAATTGAATTGAATCGAATCGAATTGAATTGAATTGAATGTCAGCAGTGAGCATGACTTCTGAGTGGTCATTTTTAGGCAGAGCACTGAGTGAAGCTTGATTAAACTTCAGCAGGAAATCTGAACCCGACACCGCAACCTTCCACACCATTCAAGTCACCGTGTGTCCACCCAACGCGAGGTGCACGTCAGGTCACGTGGAAGATTACGGTTACTCAGATTACTCACAGAAGTCTAAATCAAGCTTCAGTCTGAGTCGAGTCAGCCGAGGTTCAGAACAGTGGATCCTCACAACACTCATTCAGAGACTTCCTCAAGTGTTTGTTTGAATACAGAGAAACGCAGCTCTGCTTTATTAATTATTACTAGTAATTAAATTGATCAATAATCATTTTATAGCACAATCACATGTACGAGTGTCATGTGACCTGGGGTAGAAAGATCTAGAAGTCCCCCCTGGCTGCCTCTACATCACAGCTCAGAGGTTCAAAGGTCTTAATATCAGCTTTATGTGATTAAATATGGTCAGAGTGCTGAAGCAGAACTTTTCTCTGTTTCCTAATAATAAAGCATTTTTATTGTTAATCAAAGATAAATGAGTGTTCAGTGAGAGGAGCAGGTCAGCAGGTTGGATCTAAGAGGTTCAAGTTGAAGACTCCAGCAGAGACACTAGAGGGGGAACCTCAGTCCAACCTGTGAACCTGTCTATTGATTGTGTGATTTTTGGCTTCATCTGCTCGTTGTTGCCATGTTAGATGGTTCATTCAGAAGGATTTGGTTGACATCACACTTCCACTGGATGCCCAGCTGCTCTCCTGTTGGGGGATTATCATTAACACAGAACTCGGGGATAAGAGCTTCTTTAGGCCTGGCTGGCCTCTCCTCACCAAAGAGAAGAACAAACTCAGCATTAGCTCAGAGTAGCTTAGGTACATCAGTAGTGTTTAAGTCATCTGATTATTATTATTTGATTTTGCTAAACTGTTTTCATAAAGCTTCCTGTAATGAAAGTGTAAATTGTAAATTGTAAATCTTCTTCCACTTATCTGTGAAGTTGTCACTATATCAGTGAGTTCCAGAAGAATCAGAAGGAAAGGATTCAGTAATGACTGAGCGTTTGGATTCAGGGATCAGTCCTGGAGTCTGGACTGCTCTGATCATGCTCCTCAGTCTAACTTATTCAATGAAATCATCTGTGTCATTTTCTCCTGCTGTGAACTCAGCACTCAAAGCTCAAATCCAAACCACTGAAGAAACTCTGCTGGAAAGAATTCAGCACTGATTTAGGATGATGAACATTTCTGCCCTTTGCTGAGGCCACTTTGTCCATTTAATGAAAGTGTCATGAACAGTTAGCTGTGACATCATCAGTACAGAATAGTTATGGTGTAACCAAACTGTTTATGATATTTCATTGACAGCACTTTAAAGTCTAAAGGACATCTTATTTTGTTGAATCCTGCTGTTGAGGGGACGAATCCAGCGTGTGCAGTTTAGGAAATGACAAATATGGTATTGTACCATTTTAATCCTGCACACATTTGTATGATTTGATTTCTCATTGGAGTTTTTTTTTTTGTTTTGTTATGGTTGGAGAAAGAAATACAGCAAAGAACATTTATAGGCAGAATAACACAAGTCAAGACAGTATGGAGTTTAAAAAAGCCCACAGGTGTGGAGTGGAGCTTGTTGTTGTGTACTGGGGCGATCGTGGCTCAAGAGTTGGGAGTTCGCCTTGTAATCGGAAGGTTGCCAGTTCAAGCCCCGGCTCGGACAGTCTCGGTCGTTGTGTCCTTGGGCACTTCACCCGTTACCTACTGGTGGTGGTCAGAGGGTCCAGTGGTGCCAGTGTCTGGCAGCCTCGCTTCTGTCAGTGCGCCCCAGGGTGGCTGTGGCTACAATGTAGCTTGCCATCACCAGTGTGTGAATGGGTGGATGACTGGTAAAGCGCTTTGGGGTCCTTATGGACTAGTAAAAGCACTCTACAAATACAGGCCATTTACCATTTGTGGTTGAAGAAACTGTAAGTTTGCTTTGATTCCTCCTTTAACAGTTTGTCTTTAGGAACGTTACTGTTTGTTCAGCTCATGTTGGATTTCTTCACACAACAAACTGTGTGTGTTTTCTACATTAAAGTCAGTGTGTAATTTTTTCCTGGCTAACTATAAACAGCTGGAGATAGAGAGAGGAAAATTAGGGATTTTCTATGTTTTCATACATGGAGTTCCAAACTAGATGAAACATGTGGGACTCAGAGTCTGTTGTTGGTTCATCACTGAAACAATTTAAACATGATCACACATCAGTCATCAAGTTTCTATTCAATAGAAATCACAAACACTTTTGAATTTATTCACAATATATTTTCTGTCTCACTAACAGATATTTTCTGTTCATAGAAAAAGGTAAAGTTCTCTTTATATGACCATTTACAGCCACTTCTTTTCACTCTAACTCTTTAAATGGACTTCTTTATATTCTATAAATTACAAACTAAAATATGAAAATTCAAACATCTTAAAATGATCTGTGCTTCCTACATGACAACATTGGAACAATTCATGTGAAATATTCTTTGATTGTCTTCAAATCACAAACTAAAGTCAAATCTAACGACAGCATCCATCTGCTCATAAAATGACTAAACAGCTGATACATGAACAAAATCACTCACAAACCTTAAAATGTGAGCTTTTTGATTTGGACTTGAAATCAGTGAAATTAGACTCAGTCTGAGCAGGCAGACGACATATTTTTTTTAACACATCAACAGACACAGAGCTGAGCTCCTCCCACCTGTCCTATTTCAGTTGTAGTTCCACCTCCTTCCAGGAAGCAGCTCACCTGTGTGTCCGTGTTTAGTGTCCAGGTGTGGAGTGGAGCTTGTTGTTGTTGGTGTGTGTGAAGAAACTGTAAGTTTGCTTTGTTTCCTCCTTTAACAGTTTATCTTTAGGAACTTTACTGTTTGTTTAGCTCATGTTGGATTTCTTCACACAACAAACAGTGTGTGTTTTCATTTCCAGTCTCTCCATTAAAGTGTGTAATGTTTTCCTGGCTAACACTTGGAGCAAATCTAAACTGGTTCTTTGTATTCATGGAAACAGCACAAGCTACAAAAATCAAAAATTAGTCATTTTATATAAATGTATTTTAAATAGATATTACTCATGTTTGACTCTACTTTAAATACTGCGTCATAAAATGTTGGCTATGTTCCAATAGACTGTTCTCACCAGAAACAGGTTTAACAGGTTTTATCCCGGTGTTGGATTAAGGCTCCTAAAGGTGCAGTGTGTTACGGCAACCGATGCCGCCAAAGATATACCTCCAACTGTGACTTGGTGTCTTTGACTGAGATGTCGCTATTAAATGTTAGGTCGCTGACAAATAAGACTTTTATTGTGAGCGAGTTTTTTTTTCTACTGCTACAGGACTGGATTTACTATTCATGACGGAGACTTGGATTCGTCACTGTCTTTTCCTTTTTCAGAGCTCCTTCCTCCAAATTGTGCCTTTTTAAGCTCACCGAGACCTTCGGGCAGGGGTGGAGGACTGGCAGTGGTCTTTAGGAATAAATTCCGAGTATGACACCTGCCCTCCCCTATGTTCCCTAGCTTTGAAACTCAACTGCTGGAACTTGCTGGTCCCCCCTTGACTCTCTGTGTTGTGATCTACTGTCCCCCAAAATATAACAAGACTTTCATTAATGACTTTGCTGACCTTTTAGCATCTCTTTGCCTAAATTATGATCGTGTTCTTATCACTGGCGATTTTAACATTCACATTTGTTGTAAAGATGATGTGTTTGCCAAGGATTTTCTAGTCTTAGCTGACTCTTTTTCAGAATCAGAATCAGTTTATTGCCAAATGTTGAGCAGGTTTACAACATTAGGAAATTAATTTTAATCTTATCCAGTGGATTAATGCACCTACCCACTTCAAAGGACCCTTGGTTTGATTTTTTTCTTATGGACTGGACATTTGTATCAGGGACATCAGCAACATTGGAATCTCCGGCCATTTCCTAGTCATCTCTGATGGTGAGTTATGCAAAATGGTCCAGAACTTTGAGGGTCCTCGACGTCTTGTGCGCGTAATTAATCCTGGGACTGTGGCTGAATTTTCGGCTGCTTTCTCCAAATCTGTTGTTCCTGACATTGATCGTACCACACCCTCTCCAGTTTCTTTCTCTCTACATGCTCCTCTTTACTGGACGTTGTGGCCCCAATAAAGGTAAAACGGCTTAGAAGCTGCTCTCAACCATGGTTAAATTACTCTTTACATGCTCTGCGATGCGCTTGCTGGCAAGCTGAAAGATGGTGGAAAAAAGATAAGCTCCAGGTGTCTTTTGATATCCTACGCAGGACCCACCTGGAATTTCAGAAATCTGTTAAGTTGGCTAAAGTGCCTTTCCTGTCGACTGTCATTATGGATAACAGTCACAGCCCACGTATTTTATTTAGACCTTTCATTACATGTCTTGAAACTCTGAGATTGGCTTCCTTAGTTTTTTGTGAAGAATTTTAATTCATTTTACAGGCGGAATCTTATCTCTAAGATTTCCAAACTCCCGTTTTTGTCTAAAATCCTAGAGAAGATTGTTCATTCCCAACTTCAAATGTATTTGGATGCAAATAATATCGGGGAAAATTTCAGTCGGGGTTTAAGCCATGCCATAACACGGAAACTGCATTACTGAGAATGTGTAATGACCTTCTCTCAATTGCTGACTCAGGGCGCCCTGTGGTAGTTTTGCTTGATTTGTCCTCTGCTTTTGATTTGGTGGACCATAATGTCCGTTTAATGAGGCTTGAGCATCTGGTGGGCATCACGGGCAGTGCCCTTAGCTGGTTTAAATCTTATCTATCAGAAAGGTCCTTTGCTGTCACGATGGGTACCTACTCCTCCTCCATTGCCCCTGTTACCTCTGGTGTCCCCCAGGGGTCTGTGCTGGGTTCATTGCTGTTCTCTTTATACTTGTTACCCTTTGGCTGAATCTTTGAAAAATACAGTATTTCTTTTCATTTTTATGCAGATGACATTCAAATCTATTTTGAACTGGCTGATGATGTCACGCCGTCACTGCAACACTTCTTCGATTGTATGAATGAAGTAAAAAAAACTGGATACTGAGCAATTCCCTCATTCTAAATGATAAGAAGACAGAAATTGTAATCTTTGATACTGCCACCCCTCGGGCTGAACTAGCTGGTGTTGTCTTGGATAGTTCCTTCAAGCTGGACAAACATGTTTCCTCTGTTGTTAAATCTAGTTTCCATCAATTACGTGTAATCTCTAAGGCCAAGCACTACATACCCTGTAAGGACCTGGAAAAACCTATCCATGCCTTTGTTACATCAAGATTAGATTACTGTGATTCCCTTTATACTAGTCTCCATTCTGCCCTTGTTCAGACTGGAGCTTGTTAAAAATGCTGCTGCAGACTGGTAGTTTTGAGTCTATTAGTTCTTTCCAACCTGCACTGACTTCCCATTAAATATTGCATTGATTTCAAAATCTTATTGCTTACTTAAAATTATACATAACACCGTGCCCAGCGATCTTACGGATCTCCTCAGCTTTTATACCCCTGGGAGAGCGCTTAGATCAGCAGGCCAAATGCTCCTGGTGTGACCTAGATCTCAGCTTAAGACCAGAGGTGACCGTGTATTCGCCTCTTTTGGACCCTACCTCTGGAATAATCTCCCTCAAGCTATTCTCGTGTCTTATTCAATTCAATTTTTTAAATCTCGATAAAAAACATATTTATTTAGCCTTGCCTTCACCGCCTCCTAGAGCCCGCTTTTTTAAGTGTACTGTAATTTATCTTTTTTGCTTTAGTTAATGTTTATAATGATTTAACCTTCAGCCTTTCGGCTTGTGCCTACTATGTCTGGTGTATTATTGGTTAATTATGTCTCCCACCTGTAGGTATATTTTATTTGTATTTATTTTATTTTTATTTGTATTTATTATTGCTCTTAATTGGTTCTGTGAAGCACTTTGGCATACCTCTGGTTTTTAAATGTGCTATATAAATAAAATTGTATTGTATTGTAAGTACGTTCCTAGAAATTCCTGATCAGCATCTTTATCTATCTTTATCTACAGGTCTGTTGCATTGTTCATAGTCTCAGTAAAGTTTGTTTGAAAAGAAAACAAAGTCAAGTCATGCAGAAGGTTGAAGAGTGGAAAGTCCCTGTGTGTGCTGCGTTACAGAGCAACAGTGAAACATCTGAAAATACAGCCGCTTTCCAAAATTTGGATATAGTTTTCACTTTGAATGAAAGCCAATAAGAAGAGGTTATTTCATTGGTACCACATTCATGTTGTTTATCACAATGAAAAAAATAAATACACTTTGTGCTTTTATTGATAATGCACAAGTTGCAGACTTAAAAAATATCATTCTATTTTAATAAAAGTTGAAAATAGAGAAAAACGGGAGATATAAGATACATTTAACTCTGACAAAACAAAGATAAATAGTTACAAACTAATCTGAAAATATGCCCCCATCTCACCTGTCCTACAGATTTTTATGTCATAACAAATGCACAAGCAAAAACATAATTAAATTTCATGGGTGCAATTAAATTCCTTGCGCATAAATTCAACAACCATGTGCAACAACTCAGCAGCCGCGCACACAAAGAACCCATTCAACCCACAACACAGTTTTGCAGGTAGAGCCCAAAGAACAGCTAGCAGTTACAGAATAAACTCTCTGTAAGCAGTCAGCTTGGCATTGTTACTGAAATGAAAGCTGTGTCTCAGATAGAGTTGATGTTAGTCTAACACATGAATGCACATGAATCATTTGTTTTTCCTCTGCAGGTGAAGGTAGAAAGTGTGTGTGTGTGTGTGTGTGTGTGTGTGTGAGCTGATGTGAATTCGGCAGCATGGATCAGTGTGAAGACAGAGAGGAGGGAGTCCCTCCCTCTAAAACCACTCTGTGTGGGAAACATGAGAGCCAGACCAAAGCTCAGAGGTGAGATGACCATCTCTAACTGTCCATGACTCTTCTCCATATCACAGGTCAGCACTCATATCACTGCTCCATCATTATTCACAGGAATAAACGAGGAACTAAGGGGAAACATCAACCTGAACCCAGCTCTGTATCCTTAAAGAGTGACCGGTCCAAAATGCACCCCATGGGTTTTAAAGGCCAGCCTGTGTCTCCTGCAGAGAGGTGAGCTGTTAGTAATATCACTCTCTCCAGGTAATACACGACATCAGTTTTTCGTTAACAGATGGATTTTTTTCTTCCGCCACACTTCTCCGTCCATTCAACCAATAATCCACTGTCAAACTGTCATTACATGAATAAACAGAATGATCAACCATAAATATTACAAATAAACATATAAACTAAAGCTAGCTGTTACGTCCCCTGGCTAGTCTAGGGGGTTGAAGGGACGAACATAAAGGTGGATAGTGAAGGAGGAGCCAAGATGGTAATTTTAGAAGGTTTATTTAATGCTGGTGATGAGATTTGGGTTCAGACTGAGGTATAACTTCAGGGAGAGCCAAGGCCAACATAACAAAAAAAACATCCCTGATGTAAAAATAAAAGAAACTTCTTAACTCCAAAGAAACAAAATATACAACCTATAACCATAACCTACCTAACAACACATAAACAGGAGAAAATAGGGTGTCAAAACAAAAGGCAGCTCTCCCCTACAAGCAGTCTGAACATGAAAACAAAAATGCACATACAAGTCACAAAGGCATGCAAGCCTGTACAGGTATGGCAACCAAAATGGCCAGAGGGCACAAAAACACAGCTCCACAGGCCTTAAGTAGTGCTCCGCTGATTAACAATTATCTGGACCCTGAGCAGCAACCAATCAGGCCAGAGGAGGTGGAGCCTAGACAAAACAAAGAGTTAGTAACACTAGCAAATGGACAATAATGACACACAGTTAAACCTACCACACTGGCTGCACGTAACCGTGAGGGAATGAGTTTACTTTAAAACGGAACTTAACAAAACACTTAACTTCTTCTTCCGCTTCTTTATAGCTTCCTTTCACCTTAAACACCTTAGCTGATCTTCTTAGTTAACTTACAGTTTTACTTAACTTCTTTACACACACTTTCTTAACTTCCCTTTCCGTCATCAAGGTGACTGTGCGTAACATTCCTACCCCCAAAAGCAAACCGTTCATATAATTAGGGAAATAAATTATATATATATGTATCGTCTCTTGCCCACCGATGCCTTCGTGTTCCAGTAGCTACTTCTCGTCAGGGTGCCCTGGTTCCTCAACACCTGACGCGCACCTTGTTAATCCGGGTGACGTCTGAGCCAGCATGCCTTCATATTTATCTGTCTCGCTCATATCTGCGGTAAGCTCGCATTAGCATAGGGGATCTGGATAGCGTAGTAACCACTACGCCAACTATCGGAGTTGCAGAAAGGCACGATGAGGAAGGTGCCTAAGAAGGTGTCCATACATGAGGCCTTGGAAACTGCCAAGCAACGACTCCAGGTAGCCCAGGGATATAGAAGGTGGGCGAATAAACAAGCTGAACTAGCTGTTCTCCACAGAACCAGCCAAGGTGTACTCTCAGTGGCAGGGGAACAATATGAAAACAGCACCACCAAGGCTGGAGACAGAACAATACTGGAGGAGCATATGGGAGAAGGACGCAACCCATAAGTCAGTGGCTAGTGGATCTGAGGGCAGACCACAGCGACCTCCCTGAACATGGTCCAGTAACCATCACAGTGGCAGATATCCAAGAAAGGGTCTCCAGTATGAAGAGTTGGACAGCACCAGGGCCCGACATGGTTCATGCCTACTGGCTGAAGAAGCTGACTGCACTCCATGAGCGCCTGGCAGCACAAATGAACCAGCTGCTAGTTGACGAGAGACACCCAGAATGGCTAACCGAAGGCCAGACAGTCCTGAATCCTCAAGGACCGCCAGAAGGGACCGGTCCCCTCAACTACTGACCAATAACCTGCCTCAGAACCACATGGAATCTCCTGTCAGGCATCATAGCGGCTAAGATGAACAGGCACATGGGTCAATACATGAGCGGGGCACAGAAAGGGATGGGCAAGAATACCAGAGGCGCAAAACACCAGCTACTGGCAGACCGAGCAGTCAGCCGAGACTGCAGGACTAGGCTGACCAACCTGTGCACTGCCTGGATTGATTACAAGAAGGCCTATGACTCAATGCCCCACACCTGGATCCTGGAATGCCTAGAACTATATAAGATCAGCGGGTCCCAGAGAGCCTTCATCAGGAACTCAGTGGGGATGTGGTGGACAACACTGGAGGCCAACCTCAAGCCCATAGCACAAGCCACCATCAAGTGCGCAATCTACCAGGGAGATGCTCTGTCCCCACTGCTGTTCTGCATAGGCCTTAACCTCCTCAGTGAGTCATTAACAAAACTGGCTATGTATTCCGACTACGGAATGGAGCAGTTGTCAGCCACCTCCTGTACATGGATGACATCAAGCTGTATGCCAAGAGTGAACGAGACATCAATTCACTGATCCACACTACCAGGCTATACAGCAATGACATTGGAATGTCATTCGGACTGGAGAAGTGTAGTCGGATGATAACAAAGAGAGGGAAGGTAGTCAGAACTGAGGGGAACCAGAGGGCAACATTGCAGACATAGAGGACAGTTACAAATACCTGGGGATCCCACAGGCAAATGGAAACCAGGAATAGGCTGCTAGGAAAGCTGCAACCACCAAGTACCTGCAGATGGTCAGGCAAGTCCTGAGGAGTCACCTGAACGGTAATAACAAGATC